TATGTACAAATTACTATCCTTCTGTGGGTCTCTACTCTATTTTTTACTGTGAATTGGCCATTTTCTCTCTCTATAACTTATTTCCTTTTTATGTGAATCCCCCCTTCTTTTACTTGGAATATTTGGTCCTCTCTCAATAGCAATAGGATTTCCCTTCTTTTCTTTTACTTTTCCTCACTGGTGTCTGTCCATCTTCCCTTACTTGCTCATGAATCTCTCGTTCTTCCTGCAACTGACTAATTTTTCCTAATGTTGGCCACTACATCTCTGTTTCTCTCTCTGAAAAATCAAAATTTCTCTCTCTACTTTTGCAGGGTCATCTTTGGCATGCTGATTGCTTTACCCATCACCCTGGTCTACTACATTTTGCTTGGACTATGATGACCACCTCTAAAATGGCAGCAAAGCCAGCTCAAAGGCTGGGAGGACTTGCTTTCTCTCTCAAGAATCTAGAGAGAAGAGAAAGAGAGAAGCTCTATCTTTTTGCAGAAAACTGAAGGATTGGAGAGTACCAGTAGAGAGAGAAAGGCATGGTGCATGAGGACTTAACTAGCCATTGGTAGGAACTTTTTTGAGCATGGAAAGGTAATGGAATCTTGGGTGGTCTGGTTTTTTTTTGGGGATTCTCTCACTAAAAGTGGAAGAGAGAGAAATACTGGGCTCTGCATCCTGTTGCATGTAATGAATGAAAAAGTAAGCTCTTTTTTTGTTTATCAAAAAGAATGTCTTCCTTTTGTTTGGGCCCACTTTATTCCTTGTGTAGGGTTGAGAGGATTCAGCTTCCATGTTTCTGGTGAAAAAAAAAACAGACATTGTTTTAAACAAGTTTTGCTGGAGACAGAGTCCATGGGAAGATACCCTGGTTTAGAGAGGGAGAGAGAGGCTCTCTCATGTCTAGAGAGAGAGAGAGAGACACAGAGATTCTCTCATGTCTATAGAAGGGTTTCCTATAGTTTAATTTGGAGAAAGATTCTCTTTAGAGGCTGAGGTCTAAAGACTAGAGAGGAATTTTGATTATGGAGCCATAATTTAGTATGAAAGTCAGTAGAACCTGGTTTAGAGAGAGAAAGAGAGGTCTAGAGAGAGAAAATAGATAAATGAGAGTTTAAAATGGAGTAGTGGATTCCAAAGTTTTTTCTTAGTGCGTTAAAGAAATCTAGCCTACAAGACCAGCCAATCAGGTATTGTCTTAATTAATATGAAATAATCTTAAAAAAACACTGAGGTCGTTAAATCAATCAGCTCATTTGTTAATAATCAGAGATGGGTAAGCTTTTTATGCTTTCTCTACAACATAAAATTTATATAATTTTCTTTGTCCAACCCTAATGGAACGGTAAGATTGCCCCAATCACAATGTCATTGTTCTACATTATTTTATCTTTAATGTTTTTTATATAAACTATCTTGACATCAAATTTTGTACATCTAATAGCGAAAAATATAAAAAATTGTTTTCATTAAAAAAAATAAAATGATCAAAATACCTTGATAGTCTTAAGGAGGTATTTTGGTCTTTATATTTTTTTGAAAAATTATTTTTAATATTTTTTATAGGTGCATCCTAATTAAAAGATAGCATGTACCAAATTTCATATTCATGTAATTTGTATAAAACTAAAAATAAAATACTTTGAGACGGATTTAAAATCAAATGGTGAATGGTTCTCTTGATCAAAATTAAGATCAAACGGTGAGTGGCACTTTTGATCAAAATTAAATGGTTGGATAGTAAGAGAAGCATAGATCTTAGATCTATGCTGTAGGGAAAATATAGAAACTTTTCCCATTAAAGATTATGTGTACATGTTGCTCAAATGTTTTCATGCCCAAGCTTCCCATTATGGGATAGAGATGTTGAACCAAAGTCATTTAGGCCGACGCCTTAAGCTTCATTCATCTCAAAACTGTCTGGAAAATGCTTTGGGCATGAAAATCTCTATGATAGTTCTAAAATCAATGTCCACAATCAATTATGAACTTTGTAGGTCGAAAAAAGGTACAAATTTTGTAGATTCACGACACTTTGAGAATAAATGGTGTAGATCATATGTTACATGTATTAATTTTAGAGCTTCAAATCTCGAATTTTTTCGACATCCATAATGTTCAAGGTCGGAGTTGATTAATTTGAAAGTTCTCCAACCCATGATTTTTTTTTATTTTTTTTTGCCATAAAACTTAAGCTTTATTTTTATCTTTTCCTTTCGATAATTATGACATTTTTGTACTCAAGCCAAATAACTAAAATGTTTTTCATTTTTTTGGGTTTTTGCACCGGTATGGGAAAAACATGCAGAATTCCTATATCCCGCCTGCCACCCCTCTCCCAGTCCCTCCGGTCTAAATCATAGTTGGCAAATCCGCTATTAAACGCCTATTTTTTTAAGAAAAAAACGGAGCTTTTTTGAAAAACGTTTAAAATGGCACCCTTTTGAAAAGTTCGGAAAAAAATCGCGTCAAAAAACGCGATTTTATGAGAAAACAAATTATACGGGAAAAAAAATTGTATCGTGTAATTTTTCTTTTTTTGAAAGATAATTTTTTTTCTTGGTTTTTGTATTGCTATTTTTTTGCATTCTAAAATACGTTGTGGTTTAGAAGAAAATTTACAGATCAAAGATGAAAAAATCACCTCTTCATTTTCTCTCTCTAAAATCAGCTCCACCATCTCTTCTTCTTGCCTTTTCCAAATCTCGTCAGAGCTTAAAAAAATAGTACCCAAATATCTACAAATAGAGCATGGTTATGGTTTTTTTCATTCTCTTAAATCGGCTCCACCATCTCTTGCCTTTCCAAGTCGTGCCGGAGCCATAAAATGAGTTCCCAAATCTCTACCAATAGTGCATGGTTAGGGTTTCTTTCTCTTTCTAAAATCAGCTCAACCATCTCTTTTTATCTTTCCAAATCTTGCCTGAGCCTTAAAAATGAGTACTCAAATCTCTACCAATAATACGTCGTTAAAGTTTCTTTCTCTCTCTAAAATCTCCAAAATGAGCTCCACCAACTCTTTCTGCCTTTCTAAATCTTTGCCGGAGCCCTAGGGTTTCTCTCTATAAAAACAATGATCTTGGTTAGGGTTTCTTTCTCTCTCTAAATACAGAGCAATGAAGTACCGAATAGTTGCCTAAGCTTCTTTAAGACATTGTATGATAAGACCGGAGCTTTTAATATTTACTTATTTCACAAAAATGAAGACAAAAAAATTATATGCTCTAAGGATCATAGTGTGCTTCTACACTTAATTATTATTGGGATTATTGTTAAGCTACCATGCTATTTTATATTATTGGGATTATTATTAAGCTACTATGCTAAAAAACTATAATATAAATTGAAGATATATTTATCTGATTTTTTGACTCTGAATTTTTAAGCCTAGTCCGATGTATTGGCTATATCTTTACATTAAGTATTTTTTTCGATTCGTATTTTTTACCAGATTTTTTCATCCAACTTTTAGAAATAAAAGTAATTTGTTTTCGATTTTATGGTGAGCCGATTTATTTATAGTTCCCGACTTGCTAACTATGGTCTAAATGGATAGCTAAGATGACCCTAATCACATTGTCACGCCTAAATACTATTTTATTTTTAAGCTTTTTGTGTCAAATCATATTAACACTAAATTTGGGGTTGAGTCGCACCTACCAAAATTCTTAATACTATTTTTTAATATACAAAATAACTGAAATACTTCTGAAGTTTTATATATAATTTCGTTATTTTTCTTTAAAGATATTTTTTAATATGTTTTGTAAGTGCACCTATTGAGATTATGACACATACTAAATTTTATATTCATATGTTTTGTAAAAAATTAAAATAAAATACTCTGCACTGTCATAAGCTCACTTGTGACACTATAACTAAAGCTATCCGAGCCATTTATATAGATAAGACCGCTAGGAGAGTGTGACGTATATAAATTCTTGATGCCTAGTGGCGTAAAGAAAGCTTCCCTTTTTATTAAACTTTTGTTCCAAGTTTGTAATTCCGGATAAATAAGAGTATTTATATCTTTTGGCTCAAGTAATTTAATAGAGGTCAAATCATGAAAATCCCTATAGTTTTGGATTACTATTGTAGAATAATAATTTTTTGGATAAAAACATGTTTGTCTCTAATTGCCAAATCTCCCTTGTTCCAGATTTTAAATGTTGAATAATAACTTTTTGATAAACCATGTATGGTGTCTGTGACTCAAAATAAATAGGGAGATTCAAATCATTTGGGTCATATGACTTGTG